GGCCTGTAGCTCAGTGACTGGCACCCAGGAGAGTCTAAAAATATTTGTCGAATCAAAGTATATATAAACATCTTGTGGTAATTTTCCTATCTTTCAGATCAGACCCTTAGGATAAATTCCCAGAAGGAGCATTATTGACGACTTAGGATAATGAATGTAAACTTCAAAGTCTTTTGTAGGTGAACTTGATCCACATAAGACTCTAGGTCAGGCAGGCAGATAGAATGATCCTCACTGAGGAGTCACCTTCCCAAGGTCCCAAAGCCAGTAAGGGACAGAGTGTAAGGAACAACAGATACTCGGGTATTCTTGCCATCTGCTGGCCTTATTTGATAGGGACACTAAATTTAGATGTTGTCTTTAATGTCAACTGTCTCTTTAAATGTTGCTGTCCTGGTATACATAGACAGATCTAGATTGATCTATCTATCTATCTATCTGTCTATCTCTCTCTCTCCTGGTAGTATTTACATCTCTCAACAAAAACACAATTCACAACCCTGGGCCTTTATTTCTCCATCTATCAAATGGGCATAAGGAGGACTCTGTCTAGAATCTCTTTGTTCTGTGGGCAGATGTTTCTATCCCTACTCTGCTTCATCATTCCCATGCTTTATGCACAGTCATTTATGAGGCTGAGGAGGTTGAATTTGAAAAACTGCGCTTGCAAAACTGAGAGACAGTAATATCTGAATTAATAGCGATTGAATGCCCCTCACCTGCTGATTTGGAAGCCCTTTAATCATTTGTAGCATACGAAAGAGAAAGGGAACTGCTAAATGTACCCCCAAAATGTACTGGTGAGTTCACAGGTTAGCCCTAGAGGAAGAAGAGGGCATTGGTTAAATGCAAAGAAGTGTCTTGCTTATGGTTGACTCTCAAGTGCCAAAGGGCCCCATTCCCATCTCTGAGATCCTCGAATGACACCACCTAGGTAATGTCCTCCTAGGTTTGTCTTTCCAAAGGCTCAGTGCCGATGAGGAGGTGATCCTGTGGAGGCCGCCTGAGCACTACACACACAGTCTGGAGCTCTGGCTTCTAGTCCCGGCTCTGCCACTGAAGGGCCGTGTGGCCTCAGCCATGTTCTTCTACCTGCACAGGGAAGCGGGTGAATAACACAACCTCCACTGCCTTCCACGGTTCTGAAGTTTCCAAAGCTCTGTCACTCAGTGTAAGGTGGAAATGGCTCTCAGAATTAACAATGCAAAGCAGGTGACTCTTCAGTTCCTCTTGGCTTGAGTCCCTGCCTCCGGGATGGAAGCTGGGAAATAGGTGTGTGTCTGGCTCCCTGGCCTGGACCATAGAATCACAGAGTTGTGGGTGGCTGGCAGGAAACCTCAGTGATTATCAGGACCCATGTCCCATTTCCCTCACTCATTCAACAAAAATTTACTAAGCAGTTGTGTTGGATAGAATGTGGGCAGGGATGGCAGCTGTTGTGGTCGCTGATTGATCCAAGGCTTTTAGCATGATGACGGGCACAGAGTAGGTGCTCATTAAACATCTGTTGCATGATGGGCGGTTTCCTGTAGCAGAGTCATCTAGGGGAGCCCATTAAATGTAGGTTCCCGGGCCCATGGCAGACCAACTGAAACGTAATCTCTGGTGATATGGCTCAGGTGACTGTCACACCCTCTAGAGTTTGAGAACCACGTCTGTAGTGTCTGAATAAAGCATTCTCCTATTATCAGAAGGGAGAAAATGCTGATGGTTTTACTTTTGAGCATTTGTTGATAGTGACTAAAATATTCAAGTTAAATAGGTTCATTGCGCTGGAGCCATTTCCGTGGAGACTGGAGGAGTCTGGGCTTTGCCCAGGGCATGCGCAGAACAAACTTTCACTAATCTCGGGAGAGGCAAGGCCAATAAAAGGGCCGAGAAGATAGGAGTCAACACACGGAGTCCAAGTTTGGAGTTATTATTGCCTTCCACTTGAAAGTCATAAAATAAGAAAGGTGCCACCATTCCAGCTTCCTGGTTGCTGGTGTGAGGTCTTTTCAATCCCTTTCAAGGGTCTGTGGCTTGGTCTGTCACAGACCTGGGTTTGAATCTCAGCTGTGTCTTTTAACAGCTTGGTCTTTAGCTAATCACCGTTTTAAGCTTTGCTTTCCTCAGTCATAAAATGGACATCACAATGCCGATGACTCAGGTTGTTGCAACCTGAGATGCTATAAACTCAGGTGTTTGGCACATGCTCAGTACAGAAAAGCTGCTACGTTTTGCTGATAGTTATAAAGTACCATCATATCTCTGGCGGGTTCCGGAGAGGTTCATTGAGCCCAACCCTTTCGCTTTACAGGTGCGGAAACAGCCTCAGAGACGGAAGCAAACCGCGTGATTGCACAAGATCATCTAGCACCTTACATTTCTTGAGGGCTTCTAATTTCAGGGGAGAAGTTCCAATTCCTGCAGGGACTAGAGAAGGTGAGGAGGCTGACTCTACAGGTGTCTGTGACGAAGGAATTCCTGGGATAAGATGCTTTTGAAAAGGAAGCTAGATATCTCAGGGGAGGTGCCTTCTCACCTGGGTTTATTGCCAGCCAGAAGCCCATCCTGAGGACACAATGATCAGTGAGACAGTCCCTGAAGCTGGGCAATTTGAGACTTTTCTATCAACGCTGGAGTTTTAAAGACGAAAGCCTTTGGTGAGCATTGTTGAGGCCTTTCCTGGGAGGCCCTGTCTGGCCCTGCAGCTCTGCAGGAGATGACTGTTCTTGGGGACCCTCCCTCTGAGACTGGCCTCTAGGCTCTAAGGGGCATAACACCAGTCAGAGGCCAGGCTGGATCTGGTAGCGACACCTCTGGAAGCTGTCCCACAGGCCTCTGCCTCTGGTGTCCAAGGGAAGCAGCTGAAAAGTGGGGCCTTAGGGGAGCTCAAGTCTTTAGTGCTGGTGGTGATGACAAGAGTGAGGATCAGCACTTCCTCTCTGCCAGGTGCAGGGCCATGCCATTCATTTTACATGCATTGCTTCATTCAGTCTTTACCAGATCCCTGTGTGGAGGAAACTGAGGCTCGGAGGTTAAATAAATGACCAAGGGCACATGGCTAGTGAGTACCACAATTCACAACCAGATCTCCTGGAGTATAAGATAGCCAGCAGCCTGCAAGTGCCAGAAGAAAGGAAAGTAACATTGGCTTTCAAGGGGTATGTATTTTATCCTCATTTTTACAGATGTGGAAAGAGAGGACCAGAGTTTAGCATTTTCCCTATGAGGCCAGGCACTGTGCCAAACACTTTGCATATATTATCTCCTCAATCATCCTATCAATCATAACATCCTTATGAAGTAAGTCATTCTGTGATCTCGATTTGTGGAGATGAGGAAATCGAGGCCCGAGACTAAATGACTTGCGGGTGTTCCAAAACCGGGCAGTCTGACCAGAGGGCCCAGGCTCTCAACTTCTCCAGTTGCCCAGCACTGGAACAAGATGTGGCAGGGCTGGACCAGAAGCCAGGACTGCTGACTCCCAGCCTCGAGCTCCAAGGCTAGATGTAGGCTCTTTGTTAGAATACCTCGCTCCTTAAAAGCGCACCTATAGCCCAAAGGGTGAATTCACGCCCTGCAGTTCCGGGAAACTAAGACTGGAGAAGAAGGAAGCTTTTGCTCAGGTGTTCAAGTCTGAGCAGTTGTACTGTCCTGGGGACTCTCTTTGTTTCCTCCACCGGCTGGGAGGGAGCCCTGGGCAGGGCGGGCAGGGTGGGGCAGCCCTTGTGAGTACAGGGTGGGAGGAGGGCAGGAGGCAGGCATGCCCAATCAATGGGCCTAAATCTTCCCGCCTTCATCCAGGTGGTGCCCTCATCTCCCGGCGGGCAAATAGCAGGGCACGATGAGGGCAGTTCAAGATTGGAGTTGGGATGCCTAAGTTCTGGTTCTGGCTCAGGCACTCACTCCCTGTGGGCAGTTTCCTTGTCCATAGGATGTGTGATGGTGGTGGTCGGGATCGAAACCTTCTAGGTTTTTCAGTTAACGCATTATTTATTAAACACCTACTATGTTCCAGGCACTGGAGACACAGCAGGTGCAAAAGCAGATTCAGGCCCTGCATTCAGGTGTCTTAGAGTCTAGTAAGGAGAGACACGAAGATCAAATCTTCACTGAAACAAAGGTAAAATGGCAACTGTGACCAGCGTTTTAAAAGAAAGGTCTGCAGGGCTAAGGATGCCCATGACGGTGGGGGTGGGCAGAGAGAACGGGTTGACAGTCTGAGTGGCAATGGGGAAGGAGGCCCTGAAGATGTGGTTACTAGGTGAATGGCCACTGGGCAGGAGACAGCATTCTGTGTGTAGAGGCCCTTTGTGAAATGGTTCATCAGAGGAAGTGGGAGAAGGCCAGTGGGCCTGGGGAAGCCGGCAGGAGCTTGGCCACTTCAAGGCATTGTGGGCCAGAGTAAGAGAAGTCATTGAAGTTTTCTTGGCGGGGGGGGGCGTGAGGGGAGACATGAGAGCGAGAGAGAGGTGGTCAAACTCAACAGAAGATGGGTCAATGCATCTTTCAAGGAAAAGGTAATGTTATCCCCTCCAAGGAGCCTTCCCTGATTTCCCCACCTTTGACCTACGGCAGCCCAGGCAGAGCAACTCGAGCCTCCAGCCCGGGTAGGGAAATTCAAACCTCCTGGCCAGTCAGGCCTGGGCTTTGTCTTCCTGCTATTGAAGCGCCTTGCGGCTTCACAAGAGGCCTTCCCGGGCCTCAGTTTCCCCGGCTGTGCAGAAGCAGGTTGTCTCGAAGGACCCGCCCAGCGCTAACGCAACGTGATTCGCTCTGGCAGGAGCGGGGGGCTGCCCGCATTGCTGCGCAGGCATCGGGCTGGGGCTGGGGCACTAGCACCCGGCTGGGGGCGCTTTCCTCCCGGCTCGGGGCTGCGGGAGAGGATCGCGGCGCCAGGCGTTGGGCAGGAAAGTGGGGGCGCGACCCCCGGCTCCGGCTCGCGCGGGCCCGCTCGGCCCCGCCCCCGCAGCCAGCGGCCCTGCGGCAGCCCGGGCCTGAGCTCCGCCCTCCGCCTCCCGCCGGCCTCGCTGCCTCCTCCCGCCTCCCTCGCTCGCTTGTTGGCTCCCTCCCCCGCGGCCGGCTCGGCGCTGACTCCGCCGCACGCTGCAGCCGCGGCTGGAAGATGGCGGGGAACGACTGCGGCGCGCTGCTGGACGAAGAGCTCTCCTCCTTCTTCCTCAACTATCTTGCCGACACCCAGGTACGGCCAGCAGGGGCCGCGGGCCCGGGGCCAGAGGTGCTGAGCTGCGGGGGCTGCCGTCGCAGCCGCGGAGGCCGGGAGGCAGCGGTGGGCGCACTGGGGGGACCCGGGGTTCCAGGCTGCAGAACCCCCATTCCATGCGCCCCGCGATGCGCCCCGTTACGGGGGCAGGGAGCTGGAGGGCCCCCCCGCGCATGCCAGAACGCTGGCGCCGCGGCAGCTGGGGAGGGTCTAGCCTCAGTCCCTTGGAGTCCGCCCCCCGCCGACAGGGCTGGGGGGTACCGCACTTCCTTGGGGAGGTGGAGCCACGCCAAGATGTGGGGGACCCTCAGCCTGGCTCTGGGTGCTGAAGGCGCGCCCTCAGGCTCCCAGCACTTGCTGCCGTACTTTCACGTGGACTTGTGGCCCCGACACAGGCGCCTGCTCCGGTCCCCGGAGTCCCCTGGTTCTCCGGTCTCCAGCCCCCCGCGTGCTGCTGCTGGCCCTCCGCGGTTCCCTTTGGGCGCCCGCAGCGCGGAGTTTCCTGCCAGTTGCCTGCTAAGGGCATAGGGGTCTGCGGGGCACGTGGACATGCGAACGGGCAGAGCACCTTCCTGGTTTCGCTACCCAGCGGAGCCCCCCGGGGGAAAAGCACGGCAGGATGGGGGCGGAAGGACTGTCTGGGGGCGCCTGGGTCCCCTTGTGGCGCGCGGCCCCGTGTGCGCTCGGAGATGCTGGGGGAAGGGAAGGCGAGGCGGCGTCCCGGGCTGACTGCTCCTGGGAGCCCCACCGGCGACACGCGCGTGACAGGAGAGGGTGCTCTGGTGTGCAGGGGGGGTTGGCGAGGAAGCTGGTGACTTGGAGACGGATGGGGGTGGGTGCTGCTGGGACTAGCAGCCACCGAAAATGCCTGCACAGGCGTGCGCACCCCCAACCCCTTCCCCGGTTTCCCCCACCGCATGCCTGTTGCAAGCATAAAGTTTGGCCCCATAGTTAGGGTTTTTTTTCCTCCGGGCGCCCGGCTGCGGGTAGCCAGGAGGTTGGGGATGCGGTGGAGCCGAGAATGAGACCCCGGATGCGGGCGCACGCCTGGGAGCGGAGAGGGGCCGCCGGGCGGAACCGGGCGCGGCTCGCTAGGGCTGGTTTGGTACCTGGAGTCGGAGCGCCGGTGCCGGCTCGTTTTGCATAACACTGGAAGGGAGGGGGAAGGCGGCGCCCGGGGCGGGGGGGCGAGGAGGGAGGGCAGAGAGGGAAACTTTGCTTCTTGTTATAATCTGCCTGTCTTTGGGCGGCAGCAGCTGTCATGGGACCGGGTGGGCGGGGAGAGGCTTGCAAGCTGACTCCTTGCCGTGAGACGCGACTTGGAGCGGACGCAGCAGCCGAGACGTTCAGCTCCGGGCGGACTCCGGGTGGCGGCTCCCGGCTGGCGGCTCCCGGCCGGCGGCTGGGACGGCGCGGCGTGGCGGGGTGTCGCCGAGAGGAAGCCCGCCACGCGCGGGGGAAGGCCGGCCCTCGCTCGCTGCGGACGGCCATGCGTCAGGGAGCCGCGGGGCCGCGTGGTCGGTGGCGGGCGCGCTCGGGTGGGCTCGGGGCAGGGGCCGATGGGGCTGGTGGCGTGTGATCGCGCTTCTCCAGGCCGAGGGAGAGTGAGATGAGCGGTCTGCGCGCGCGGGGGTGTGTGTTTGTGTGCACACGCCGCGCGCGCCCGGCGCGTACCTTTACCTCTGACGAAACTGCAGTGTAGCTCCCGCGGCGGTCACCGGAGCCGTCACACGTCCCGCGCCCCTGTCTGAGCGGAAGGTCGACCCCCTCCCCCGTCCCGGCCAACAGCCTGGGGCTCGGGGGACTGGGTGCGGGCGGGGCAGAGTTGCCACTGGGAAAGTTACGTCCTCAGCCCTCGCAGCGTCTCCAAACCTCTGGACTGAGATGCGGGTGAAGGAGGCCTGAAATAGCCGCAGCGACCGGGAGCAAGAACTGTCTGTTCTGGACCCGACTCCAGGTTTTAACTCCATCTTCAGTGTTCTTTGGCTCCCCAATAATTAATTATTTTCCCTTTTAGCCGCCTAGGGGGCCTACCCAGCAGGCATATTTCACCCAACGAAACTAGAAAATTGGGTAATCAAGTGTCAGCACAAGCAGTGCAGTGAAAGTTAATCTGGGACGTTTGCTCTTTTTATTTAACCACGTGACGGGCTGGAGATCTTCTGGTGATCCTTGCCGGCCCAACTTGGGAAATGTAATTGATAGGGGGAGCTTTGCAGCCACCCCTAGAAGGCTCACAGAGCCCAGCGGGGAGAGGACCTGGGCGGGCCATCGGGTGCCTCCTCATTTTGCAGTTGGGGATAGAGGCTGTGAGGGGTGAGCGGCTTGTACAGGACCACGCAGCCAGTGAGTGACAGAGCCACCCAGGGCTCCTGACTCCAGGTCCTGTGTGTTACCTCGAAATAGCACTGGACTTGGAGTCAGAAGGCCTGAGTGGAGTCGCCTTCCCCACTCTCTGGCTGGGTGACCCCGGAGCAAGCCATTTTAACTCTCTGAGCCTCCTTTCCTCCATCTGTCAAATGGGGCTGGTAGTGCCGGCAAGAGAAGCCAGTGGCCAGGTGGTGGGGGTGAGCACTGTTTGCATGTGAGATGTCTGGTTGTTCCTGCAACTCCCTCTCCATCTCCCTTTGGAAGGGGTGGGGAAAGTGAATAAAAAGGTATTGGTTGTCTTTATCCAAAAACTTGTGTTGTCTTTCCTGGCTAGTCCAGGATCAGACAGAGGGAGGATGCCTGTGTAGGAGACTTAACCTTGACTTATTTGGGCCAAAGTTCAGAAATTCAGCAGCCCGGGGATTATGCAAGTTTCTTGGAAAGGTTTGGGACGTGGATCCCAAAGGACTTGGGGTTGGCCTCGCCTTTGCTTAGCCTGTGCCCCTTGCCTGCGGTGCCCTCACCGCCCATTCTGCAGGGCCTTCCCTAGCAGCCCTTCCCAGCCCCGCTTGCCCAGCTTTCTCTCTCCTCTGGTTTGCTTAGTCCACCATTTTGTGTGTGAGTCCCGTGTCCCAGGAGGTTTCTAGAACTAGAGTGGTGCCTTTCATATCTGTGTGCCCCCGTGGCACCTGTCCCCATGCTGAGTTCTTTGCTCAGCTCTTGGCTAGGCACATGAAGTACAGACATGGGCCTGGGCTGTACCCGGGCCCTGCCCTGCCGAAGCTCCCAGGCTGGCCAGGGAGACAGCTGGGCAGCGAGTAGCAGGAGAGAGGAATGCAGAGGGCTGCAGCTGTGGGCAATGACTTAGGCTCCAAAGGCCACACAGTAAGCCCACGCTAAATATGGGTTGTTTGAAGTCACTTGGGACATCAATCATAGATGCCCAAAATGTCAGAGTTGGCAGGAACTTTATAAATCATCTGGTCCACCCCCTTATTTAAAAATATTTAGTTATAGAATTGTTAGAAAATACTGACAAGCCTGAAGAAGAAAATTGAAACATGGAATCTTACCCAAAGATAGCCACTATTAATTTTTATATATCTTTCCAGACTTTTTTCTTTCCTGTTGATTCCTATCAATTATATCTTTTGTACAGAAATGGAATCATCCTCTATATACTAATTGTAACTTGGAATCACACTGTTGTAACTTGCTTTTATCCCCCCTCCAAACAATTTGCTGTGACTGTCTTTACACATCAGTAAACATTCTACTTAATATCTTAATATCCTAATGGTTATAAAGTATTTCATGGAGATTGAACTAAAATGTATTTAATCCGTTCTTTATTGTTAGTCATTTAAGTTGTTTATAATTCTTTTTTTTTTTGCTCTTGTAAGCCATGCTGAAATGAATATCTTTGCATATGTCTTCTTTCCTTCATTTAAATTCCTAGAAGTGAAATTACTGTGTCAAAGGAACTATGCAGGCGTTCAGTAAACACATTTCTGGATTGCCTTCTAGAAAGATTGTGCTGCTTACACACTTACCAGCTTTGTGTGGGATCGCCTTGTTCCTCATCCCCAGATAACACTTGGTATTTTCATTGTTTTTCTTTTTTGCCAGCCTGTTCGTCAATAAAGTCTGTCACCTTGTTGTTTTAATGTGCATTTCTTTGATTACTTGTGATGCTGGACCTTCTCCCCATGTGATTATGGGCCATTTGTGGTTTTGTTCTGTGAACTGTCCTATTTGTGAACTTGGCCCATTTTTCAGTTAGTACCCTATCCCCTCATTGTTGTGAAACTGGATCTGAGCACCAGGAAGGGGTCTCTCCCACGTGAAGAATTGGGAAAATGGCTTGAGGTCCTAGTCTTCCCTTGCTGGGTCTGGAATACTGCTGTCCCACAGTCCCCAAAGCCAGGGCTAACTCCTTTTCCAGGTCAAAGTTCTGGCCATGTGTAGGGGCAGATGGAAGTGCAGTCTTTGCCTCCGATTCACCTGTGTGAGACCAGGAGGAGTAACTTCTTCACCTGAGCCCAGAAGGGCCATGTTTGCTGGCTTCGTTTACCAGAGGCCCAGGCTCCGCTTTCACTGGGGCCGCCTGGCTGGTGCTAATGATCAGGATGCCTGTGAAACCCAGGAAAGGCAGTGGCCCAGCAACTGGGCCCCGGGGGCTCGTATTTCCCCTTCACCTTGGGGCCCTCCTCTCCCTAGCTGGTGAAGGCCAGCCAGAAGCTCCATCATTGCCAAGATGTGAATCACTCCTTTCCTCTTCTCCCTGGAATAATAGAAGGAAGACTGGTTTGAGTCAGAGCAGCCTTGCAAATAGGGGCTTGGGCTTGGAAGTGAGGTCATAACACGAGCATTGCAGTGTTAATCGCTGTTTCCTCCTTTGTCATTGTCATCATCACCACCACATTATGAGCATCCTCTAGATGCCATGCACTCTGCATTTTTACGTTTCATTCTCATAAAGATTCTGCAAAGTCTAGTGCTATTATGATTCCCATTTTACAGATGAGGACTTTCCAATTTCAGAGAACTCACTGATTTGCTGAAGACAACCTAATTATACTACCTTCGAGTGGGTGGAAGAGCCAGGA